TCTCCAGTATATATTAACTGGTCACAAGAGAAGCAAATTGCTAATCCGATTGCAGGAGCATATGTACCTAGAGTAGGAACTAGTACCAATTTCCTAGCTTCAAGATATTTTTTGTTTTCAGTAGGTAAAAGATCATTCTTTCTGAAATACTGTAAGCGAGGCCAAATCCGATCCATCCACTCGCTTGGAGTTTCATTATCACGAACTTGTGGCATTTCACAATATTCATACCATTCAGCATCGGTACAATTAGTTCCACGTAATTCACTTAAACTAACCATTTTATATGACTTATTTATAGTGTTTATGGAAGTTATGTGATTTATATCGTATTTTAGGAATTCAGACCTATTTGATTTTAATAACTTATACTCTAAAATATATCGGATTCAATTTTTGTTGATTTAGATTCTCTTTGAATAATGTATATATTCAATATATACCTTTACAATAGAAGCCCTTCATATTTAGTGATTATCATATATATCATACGTATATCATCAAAACTGTTGAAAATATTGTTAATCTTTCTAGCTCATTATCCCATCTTTTCGCAGTACCTGCTTAAAGCCAGATCTTAAATAGGTTAACTACTTTTCTAAGAAGCAGAGCTATATTGTTCTATAATACTAGAGAGGGCGTTAACTACAATTGTCTGGCTTCGAGTGATAAAGTCACGAGAAGGCGGGATCCAATGTAAAGTTATTTTCTATTTGTCGATATGATTCGAAGAGGTATCCCCAAAGGGCTAGATTGTATAACCCTGATCTTATACCGAGAAATACGAGACATATCTCTTTAGAGCTGTGGAGAGTTTCAGAAGTTATATGATGAAAATGCTATCTGAACTAGGTATGATTACATATCTGTGTCAATTTGTCACGCATATCATATGGAAAAATAAAGTATCTTGAGTTTGGTAATGGTATTTATAGCAGAGCTAGTGTCTCTAACACATATAAAATTACTCGTGTAGATATTGTTGCAACGATTACTCATGACAATTGACAGCCATATGAAATCAACAAATAATGGTCATAGTAGATTGTGATTATTTCATGAATGGGAAATCTATTTCGGATATATAGTTAATTTTTGGTTATAAGTACCAAAACTGGTTCATAAATTGCACTGGTAAATAGTTGTGAGATTTTTAACATGAGCAGATGTCGACACCGAACCATTTTTAACTACAATTATTAACACGTAATTTTATCACGATATATTTTCAGTTTATAGTAAGTAATAACTTGTGTAACTTGGCATCTTCGTTAAAATTATGTGCTTAGTACTAACTCCGTTATTAACCTATCATATGATATGTACCATAGAAGGAATTCGAATGTAATAAAACCTGCATGCATAATTTGATCATGCGATACACCGATTACCAAATTTAATTAGTACCCCTTACACCCTGCATATCTATGTGAAAACTTATTTCTACTTTTCGAAATATAACATTGCTTTTTTACTCTCATCGGTCTTTATTTATATTTATCGCAAAACTAATCTGATATGTTGTGCTTTTTACAAATAGGGATTATTAATAACCTGGTTTGAATAATTGACTCGAGATATGTACATACTCTTTGTTCTTGTGCATACGCTACCTTTTTCTCCTAATCTATTCTTCGGTGAAATAATGAAAAGTGGTAAAAGGAAAGTATCGTGAACTTCTTTACCTACATTCAAATAACTGACTATAGAACATATACATATTCTTTGTTCTCGTGCATATACCAACTTCTTAATTTATAGGTCGAGATACTAAAAAGGAAATAACAAGACGCGTTAAAAGGAGAGTATAGCGGTGTTGTTAAGGATTCACTTTTATTATACAACAAAACTAATATTCTTCTTATTACAAATCTAAACGTAAAATGTCTACTGAATTATATAACAAGATTTACGAATTTTTAACAACCGCTGAAGACAAAAAAATAAACGCGATATCGGTTGTGTATCTCGGAATGAAAGAAGATCGCTGGATCGAACAGAATGAATTAAGAACAGTTGTAAACCGGGCTGTGGATTCAGCTAGTAATAGATATATAGATGTCAATTACGAATTTTCTGGCTTATCGTGACAATTTGTCACGGTTTTGTCACATGACATGATCTAGATATTTACGTGTAATAAATCAATAAATCGAGATTACCTGTTTGTCTGTGAAATAAATCAATAAATCTTTATCTCGTCTTTCAACAACATATTAGTTAGGTGGGTGGAGTTTTCTCTTGATTAGTGCCTGCGACAGAAAAAAATAGCTTCTGTTAAGCAAGAAGAAAGCGTCTGCGCAGAGGGAGACTGCGGAAGCCAATAATGGCAAGTCATCGTGTAGGGATGGCCGGCTAACTTTATTGTACAGAAGTTATTAAGTTGTTAATCAACATAAGGCGTCTGCGCAGAGGGAGACTGCGGAAGCCAATATTGGCAAGTCATCGTGTAGGGATGGCCGGCCTTATTTTGAAGAGCAACTAATTTTAATGTTTACTGCATTTACTTTGTTCAGCAAGATATTGATTTTTTTTTTCTCTATTTCGCAAGCTAACCATGGGAAAAAGAAATGTTAACATAACTTTACAAGAACGTCACATTAACTGGATGTTGAATTGCCACGATCCAACTCCGCTCGCGTTTTTTCAATGTATATTTCCAGCGCATCGAAATAAAGCTTCTGAAAAATATCATAAAATACTCGATCTGGCTTTGGGTGAAACTGATGACGAGGAAATCCTGAATAAGCTCAAAAAAATGAAAGAAATGGTGGATGTAAGTTACTTAATAATATTTTTTGTTATATTGTAAAATATAATACTAAACTTCTTTTGAATAGGAAAAAAAGATGCTAAGAGACTGGGAATCATGGATGCAACAGAAAACAGCGGTATGTCTGGTTGCTGGCTTTTTAGATAGTTTGACCTAAGATTGATAAAAATTCTGCATCACATAGATTCTCATTCGTCGTAATGTACGTAAAACACATATGAATCTTCATAAAGAAATAAGCTCGATGACATTAAACAAGGTAAGGTTATTACTCTTCAGAAATAACTAAAAAGCTTTGTTGTAAATATTAAACGATTATGAAAATTTTTATTACAGGATGAATCATTTGCAAAAAATACTAACTTAGATATAAGTGATATAAGTGAAGATGATCAAGAAGATCAAGAAGATCAGGAAGATCAGGAAGGGGAGGATGTAAACGAAATCGAAGAGTTTTTTATAAGCAAGGATAATGACGGCAAGGTTTATAGAGATGATATCGGCGATGGTGACAATTTCATAGAACGTACAGAAGAAAATCAACCAACTACTCGTCGATCGTGGGTCTCAATAGCGGTACCAACGTTGGAGACGAATTAGCAAAATATGTTAAGACGATTCCTGAGGCTCATAAATGTTTGAAGTAAGTTTTTTGAATTGGCAGAGGCCATAAAAGTTAGTGATGACTATATTTAATCTTAGAATTTCTTTATAGTCTCGCGTACTGGAACATCCTCGATTTAACAGAAGATACCCAAATAAAATCTTTATTTTCAACGGATGACTGGGAAGAAATAAACGAAAGCTTCAAAAAAGACGTGAAGTTAGATGAATCAGATATACCGAATGTTGTTGAATATTTTTTCGATGAAGTAGAAAAGGTGATAAAAGATTTGTCTTATTATATTATTTTTTAAAATGTTGCTGATACACATATTTTTAGATAACCAAAAAAGATGATGAATATATCATCAATGCGATTGATGGTTTAACTCCGGAGATGATAGAAAAAAATAGGAAAGTCAAATTCAGTGATGAGGAAAAGGAGATCTTTAATGGATTAAGACGTGCCGTTATTACCTAGTGAGTTAAATATAATAATTATTTCCTTTTATTAACATTTGATAGGTTACAGTACATCACATAATTTTATCTAAAATTTCCAATCTTCTATCACAGTGCCGAAAATTTGAAGGATCTTGAAGTTCCCATGTCAGAAGCTGACTTTGACAATTCATTTCCAAATATGTTAACAAAAAGATTTTTAAACAAACGTGATCTCAAAATGGACGTGTAGGTATAAATAAGAATACAATGGCTAAATCTTTAAGTAGTAATTCATTTTTTCTTGCAATCCTATAGCGGAGAAATTGCTTGTTGGGCTTCTGCCCGTCGAAGAAACGAAGGACGCTCAATAGTCCTCCGAGCACGCATAGGCCAAAAGTGCGATTTTCGGGGTACTTTGAAAAATAGCATTAATAACCTTGAAGCCATTATTGGCCTTAGAAGCGGTGGTCTCCCTGTTGCACATCGCAAAAAAGTTCACGAGGATAGAGCCGATCTTTCCGTAGCAATGCGCGATGTTCTTTATAATTTTTTCAAAACAAATCCCAATGCATCTGGAAACGATCTTCATAGTACATATGTTCTTGGAATTCAATCATGGGGTAGGTAAAAAATAAAATAATTAAATTTCGAATTTTGTGATTAACTTTTATTCTTATGCTAAGGGTGGATCCACGAAACTTATGGCATGGACTGTAAGGCTACAAATGTAGAACGCTTAGGAAGACTTTCTCAGAAAAAGATGCCCAATACTTTAAAAACGCTTGCAATTCTTGAAGGCTTTTATGCTACTATGTCGGACAT